ATGAGTATCCATTGTTGAATCCATGATGGGAATGCGAGGAAGTGCATAGGAAGACAATGGATGCACCTGCAAGGTAAGTTAGATTGAGGAGTGCTGTGCTAGATTCAACTTGGAATTGCAAAAGGAAGGGGGAGTTGTGCTAACATATACTGCAGGATATACTTGATTGTGCCATTACTGCCACCTTGCCTGACCTGGTTAGGTCATTAAACTCTTCTGGCATCATTTCTTGTGAAGTGTGAAACTACCTTCCTGTTGTTAATCTGGTCTGCAGTCTCCAGCCGAGCTTCCTTGCGCTGTGAGTCAGGCAGGTTCCTCTCAACAACAGGGAAGAAAACCTCTAACATTTACAGCACCACGTCAGGTCTATGGAGACATCTGTGAAGAGCACTTGTGTGAGAATCAGTCGTTCTGTGTTCTAACACGAAGACGGTCTTTCAGCTATCATCTTTGCAGTGTTTCTGTAAATAGTTCAACTCGGCTTAATTGTATTGGTCGTCATTATGCTTGTTTATTGGAAATGTTGGGAAACGCAGAAATTAGATTGTAATGCAGTTCTGTGCTACAAAGCAAAATGACAAATGCATTGCTGAAATTTGGGGAAGAATTTCATCAACTCCCAGTGACACTGCTGAGATCAGGGGACTTCCTGCCCTACCCAGATCGGGGCAGAAGACTGTCCTGCAGCCAATGAACACCCCTCAGAGTGTGGTCTCCCCAGGACTGGGGCAAGTTTTAGGGGAGGGTGATATCCTACCTTTTCAGGTTTCCCACATGTGACCAAACCCTCCGCTGCTGAGAACAATTCAAAATGTTACAATTTCTGCCCATGATGCTGGAAAGCTTGTACTGTTTACTTTAAAAGTGCCAAAATTTTAATACAACTTTTGTCTTGTGAAATCATTCCTAAGCAAACATTCAAGCTTGTTTAGCTCTACTGCCACACCGCTAAAGATGTAACATCTCAAAAGAGGCTGTCACTCCATTCTTTTGGCCAGTGAAGAGAGGACACCTTTTAAGAAGAAAAGGAAATGGCAAAACAGATGTGGAAAAAATAAACAGCAATAGTATATCCATTGTTCAAAAACAAATATAAACCAAAACCTAAGGAAACTTCTATGTTAAAAGGCAATCAGGATGGCGGTCGAGTAGGGCTCATCCTCTCCAACTACTTTTCTTTTTACTTTCTTTTTACTTACTTTTTATCTTGAGCACAGACGGCATCGATGGCAGTAAGAAACCCCATTACAAACTCATGTGGGCCCAGCACTGACCCCGAGGCGGCAGCGAGTGAGCCTGGGACCTGGCATCAGAATGCCCATCTCCTGCTACCGGTGCACAACACAGCACCTACATTTATGTTACAACTGCTCTCAGCAACAGATTTTATTCACATTTAACTTGTACTATTACGCGTAGTCAAATAGGTAATCAATATACATCACTTGATATTTGCCAACTTTGTAGAAAATTGATCTTTCTACCTGTTATGATTAATGATAAGCTCTTTATACGATTCACATTCTTTAACCAACTTTACTATTTATTTTGTTTTATTGCGTAATGTAATTTGCATGTGAAGACCAAAGTGTTTCATCATCCATATTGGATTCAGGTAACAGGCTGTTGAAAGAACCAAGTGAAGATCTGCAGAAAGGCAATCCAAACAAACCACAGCTGTTTTGGGATTAGGAAAGTTCCCACAAGAACACATGGCTACCCTCTCATGAATGACAGAAGTCTGTATTGAATACAGGCCATATTTTAGATGTTTTGCTTTGGTAGCAAAAGCAGCCAAGGGGAAAGACATATTGAAAAGCTGTGCATACCCTCCCACATTATGTGGCATATCCTGCAGACCAGGAAAATGTTAAGCTCTATTCCTCGTTTGTGCTAAGTTGGATGTCTTTATGCTTGGTTGTACTGAGTAAGTACTATTTGCTTGATATGAAGTGATGGTAAATGGTGAAAGCCTCCAGCATTCTCTTATCAGATCGCTGTTAAGTGAGATCCTTTGCAAATTTTAGATATGTAGCTACTGCATGAAGACAATTGGGCACTGCAATACCCTCTCAGGAAAATTGTTTTGCCCGTTGTCCAAATGCTGTTGAAAATTGCCTTCTAATTCAATCCAACTGAGTAATAGTGTAGAACAATTAAGTATAGGATAAAGTATAGATATTTTCTAAACAAAAGTGGCATGAGCAATAGGTAGAGATTGAGGCGAAGTATGATGACCCTGATATTAACTTCTTTTCTTGAAGATTCATCTTCGCAAATTAATTATTTGGAGTTTCTGGGTGTGCACAGACTAATGATTGATCATTTAATTTACAGAGAAAAATGTTTGAACTCAAGTGAAAGGACCTTGACAGATATTTTAAGATGTTGAATATTGAAATTGAAACAATCTTAATGTGTTTTCATCCAGTTCTGAGATTGTAGTACAATACTAACTGAATTTCACATTGAAGCCTTTGCTTTCAGCACTTGAGTTCCAATTTGTTATGGAAAATTTTAGTTGAAGGAGAGTTGATTGATAAATTCAGTAACTGAAGAAATGATTGAAAAGACGTAACTGCATAGAGCAGATCTGCTCCAAAATAAATGTCTTTAGAAAGGAAACGAGCAAAACATTTGAGTCTTAACTGTTATCAGTATGCTGGCTCATTTTAATTCACTCTTTTCTTCAAGCTACCATTGCATCTCCATCCTATTATACAATGTGAGAAGACATCGTTTTGTCAACCTGTGCTCTAGCACCGAATTCTGTAACATTTTTCTCGAGTTTTGAGTTATTAGAACATCTGTTCAAATTATAACTTTTTTTTATTATTCACTTCTGTTTGGGATGTCTGCTCCCTGATGTAAACTATATGTTCCTTGTCTAGGTACTTTCAGCTGTAACATTACTACACTGAATTCAAAAAAGGAGGGAATCTCTAGTTTACAGCTAGGTAATAACTTAAAAGTCAATTGCCCATGTGGAATCCACCTTCCTAGTGTAAATAAGTGGAAACAATGCACAATTGACAAATCATGTTTAAAATAAATGAATGTCATAGCATTTGGAATTTTTCCAAAATGTTATACTTGATTCTGCAACTCACTGCACACCTGTTGTAGCATATCTCAATCAATAAAATGAAGATTACTTCTCTTTAAATAGTTCTTAGAAACCTAAAGCTAAAGTTTCCCCTTTAGTTTTTTTCTGGATGTCAGTTGCAATTTTGGGTTGAAAATCTGGGCACTGCGGCAGCAAGATCTCTGATAGTGTTCTGCGTGGCATCCTATTAAGAAACTGTCTCTAGGATCTCCATCCAGTTAGGGATGGCAATAGGATAAGGAGGTAGGGAGGACAGAACAGCTCATGCCATTTCTTGGGCACCTAACAGCTTTCACCAAGAGGGGGCTAAACAAGATGGATATGAGAGAAGACCAAGCAACTGGCAGCCACCTCACTCAAGCACTGATCCTACAATGGCAAGTCTCCACCTGTAAATTACTCTGGGTTTGCTGATTTGAAATTTGAATGGGATTTTATTTTTGTGCCTCTCCAATCTCCCAATGTTCACTAGCCTCTTGAAAGTTGACATTTGGACAAACTTAGGTGGTGGACAGGAAGGAGATACCCATGCACCACTGCGAAAATGATTTTCCTGGGCAAAATGGCTATTAATTGAGTCAATAACTAGCTCACATGGCTTCCTGCTGGATACTGACCGCTCTCTCAAGTCATTGCTGGGAAGAGCAGAAGGAGGTGGGGGCACATTGACGTTCCTATTTAGCACTTTTTTTTTCTCTCATTTTCTCTACCCTCTACTACCTAACTCCACCTCTAATAAATGAAGAAAATTCCTCATGGCATTTGGTTTAATTTGTATAACTTTAATAATCCAGAAGTTACTAAATCCATTCATATCATTGCTTGTAAACACTAATTGCCATGACCAGCTCTCTGAAGACAGATTAAAATGTCATACAATTACAATACAAAAAGCATAAAACACGTTTGAAATAAACAAATGAACAGGAGGATTTGCTTTTTTTTAAAACCTTTTTCTATTTCAAAGGAAACCTTATCAATGTTAATTCCAACCACTAATTCAAGTTAAGATGTATCTTTATGCTTATTACAAATTATATATTTCATGGGTTCTTCTGTGCTTAATAAGCTTAATGATAGAGATATCTGTTATAGCATTGCTGTTATAGGTTGTTCTGCAAGAGCCTAGGAATCAAATTTCTTCATTTGCTTCTATTAATACCATTATAATCGGGACAGAATCAGCTGAGCCAGCACAGAGTTCAGGGAATTATAAATATATGTGAGTTAATTCCAAGGCCGCAATTTGGTCTTTTTTTCTCTGTCGTCTTTTCTGCCAGGTCAACATTCATTTAACCCACATCAAGCCCACTCAGAACCGGCCTCATTCTCAGATCAAAATTACAATTCAGGAAGGGTCTTCAAATTGTTCTTATTTTCTCAGGCACACAGACAGCAGTACACCTGTTTTCAAAGTTTAATATCAAGAATATTTAATTTACTAAGAATTAATTATGCACTAATGAAACGAATATTTTTTAGTCTTTTTCAGTTATTTTAAATGAGATTATTCATGTGGAAAACTGGACTCTCTTATTAGAATTGTTTGTTTATGGTGATCAGTCCATTTTTAGACATATGAATAAAACTGCATCAGGTTATATTTCTTAACGAATTAAAGAGATTACCACTCTCTACTACATTTATGAACACTTTTTTTTGATAGGTGAAGGGATAAAACACCGTTGTTATTGGTACACTGGCCAATTGTGGTGGTTTGTGAAAGATTTTGCATCTGTAACTTAATTTAATTTTGAACTTGAAGCCTTACCTAACCAATTCAAGTTCAACAACATATTGTGCCCAAAACAGTAATTCTTCTACCTCAATATTTTTAGAATTTATATTGATTTGAAACAGTGAATTAATTCACCCTTTTTGTGTAATTTTTCAGGTTCTCTTAATGGAAATCTAAGCACTGAAATGCCCTCTGCTGTGGGTACTATCCTTGCAGATCAGACTTCCCCGCCACTGCCACATGCCACAAAAACCAACGTCTCTGGGAAACTTCGTCGCTCTGCCAGTTCATTAAGCAAATCTTCAAACTGAAAAAAACACTTTACACAGACAAGTTGTGAGCTGAGGCTTGCTTTCTAGCCTCTTCAATTTTGTACTCACATTCTGCCCATAAAATGACATCAATTTTGAATGGAATTTGAACTTTCTTTCTTTGATATCAAGTTAAATTTCAGAAGCAAGGTGCAGAGAGGGAATGGTATAAACCTGAATGGCACTATAAGGTTCCAAAACTGGGGTAACCCATTTAAAGTATAAATGTCAGCATTGTGGAGGTGATAGGAGATGTTGTGGTGTAAGGGCATTATGATAATACCTCCAGCTGTCTTGAAATGGATGCATGATGTGATGTCATACCATGCCATACCAACTGTAACTGTAGCATGTGATATCACTTACAGTATGAAGTCATTGCTGGCTGCTTAGAGAGACCTTCGAATGATGACCAAACTTGAGACTGTCACGCACAGGTATTATGTTAAATGTAATTCTGACAGATTGAAAATGGACTCAGCTTACAGCTCTGTGGTTATGACATTGCAGTTATCATGATACTAGCCAGGCACTCTAAACCTTGAATTAAAACCGTAACCTTCTTAATATTTTCAGTTAATATTATGCCATGATGGGAAAATGAGGCCCCTTCTTTCTCAGCTGCAAAGTGAGGACTGTCAACAGGAACCTTGAGGATTTTAAAAAAAAAATCAGTGAAATTATTATCTAAAAAGTCTCAGCTATAATTACTTGTATGAACATTATCTGTTTGTATAAGGATGTATCCAGTGGCCTGTAATTTGGTCTACCTGATTTTCCAGCTTTCTAATCAGCAACAGGCTCTTTTCTTATACTCCTCCTCCTTCATTCCATTAAATGAGACGCTGCGATACTCAAGTCTAGTATGGTTAAAGTTTAAAAAGTTACCTAGAATTGTAAGTTGGTAAAACTCTACTGCTGTGGTCTTGTAGATTAAATAAAGCACCAGAACCAGTGGAGCAACCACTGAGCCATTCACCCACATGTCACATTGTGTCTCTGCATTTGATTATTTGCATTATGTTTGAGTGACTACATATCAGGGAAGCAAAGGGAAAAGCTTTTTAAATTATCTTTTTTATCCTGTTCTTTGTAAGACAAATTTATGACTACAATCAAAGAAAGAATAATGTTCAGATTTCCACATAAGGCAAACTTGCTATTTTAATATTTACATTAATCTTAAATTATTTTGCTGTTACAAGTTACAAGCACAAATACAACAGGAGGATAATACAAAACAAGCATTTGAGCTAATTTGGAGATGAGAGTATATCATGCATAACTTATTTGATGCCTAAATGGTGTATTACCATACAGAAAATATTTATCGGAAGCTCTGACAAGCTTTCAACCTGGAACTGTTAACTGAGTTGTCTCCTGCACAAGCTACATCTAATTATAAACTATATTTGTTATTAAAATGGTGAAACATGAGAGTTAAAATGCTTGAGGTTCCAATCTTAGACTGCAAATTTTTATTTACCTTGTTTATATTGTATGCATCCCCAAATATTTAGTTGTCATTTCAGAAAGGAATATGGCCATGATGGGATAATACTTCTAAAGGTGCTGCATTATGGAATCCATCATTCAGTCTTGGCCTATTCTGGAAAATTCTAAATCAACAGCCATCAGGTTGTTTTGAATTTTTGCCATCCAACTGCACTTTTAGCCACAGCTTCAAAGCACTGAATGTTAGGACCAGATTCTGCTAGTTTTCGTCATTTTGATGCATTTAGCCACAAGTAAACCTAGAGGCAAAACCACTGCACATGTAGATAATTAATTTGGACTTTTCTACTGAAGATTATTTGTCACTTCTTGTGACTTGAAGATTGTGACAAATGGAACAGTAATTTCATTACAATTTTATATGTGTGTGTTTTTGTAGCTCATTTCATTTTTTTATCATCCTCCTGGAAACCTTTCTGTCTTCCTGTATGCTTCAATCAGCATTGACATATGGGCTATCTGGACTATTTATTGCTGAAATGATGTATTGTTGAGTACTCTAAACAGAAGAAATGTAAGAATTTGATCTTCCAAGTTCTATTGATGCCTACTAATGGGATTTTTTTTACAGTGAGAACTTTAATGTTCTGAAGTGATGTTACTTATGTGTTTATCTTTGAATTATATGACAGTACTGTTTCTGTTGCACTTGTTCTTTGTGTACCAGTCATGTGAATGTGCTCTTTGGCTGTCAGATGTATAATGCTTTATTTTTATTATATATGTAAATATGGAGTAATATTTGATAAGCAAATTATAAAAAGTAGCCTTTGTAAGTTATGATTCAACTCCTCCATCTGGCTGTTGGCTTGAGTCAATTATTGTGCTTCTTTAAAAATATAGCCTCAGGTGATCTGCACTGATCATATGGAACATAAAATTTGAAATGCAGTCTTGTAGTGTTAACATAATTTTCATTTGAAGTGGCATCCTTCCTTACCATGTTACAACTAATAATTGTACCTTCCTATAAAAAAATCATTTCTAAATAGTTGTCAACTTAACTTTGATTTATCTATTTTTTTGAAGAATCTTTCTCAGTAAGAACAGCTTTTTAAGAATGTTTACTTTAGAGGTGTGTGACTTTCTAATAATCAATATTGTAAAGCAGAATTAAAGAAGTGCACTCACACAGCCTTTACACATTTCCTAATTCACAATGTCCAACCTGAATTTGAAAATGCCATGTGCCTCCTGCTTCTGTTGATGTCTGAGGAGGTTAATAAGTGTCTAGATAAATGCCATCTAAATTTGAGTATGTGTACTCATCTGAATTATGCCTCAATTACTTAATTTATGCCAAAATATATGTTGATCAGTTTATATCACCATATTCTTAACCTCAAGTGGCTCACAGTTCATGGAATTGTGGGGATTCTCATCTAAATGTGTCATTAGTTCAACAGGCAAAATGTGATTGCAGAAAATTTCCAACTTTCTACTTTTCAGTTCACTTTAGACTAAAGGTTAAAATAGAATTGATCCCACTGAAGATTATGTCTTCCATTAAATGAGCAAACCTGCCCCCTTCTGAATTTTCTCCTATGTGTCAATCACTATAAACTGGATATAAACATTTAATCCTTATGGTTAAAGTTTCAGTTTTAACTGACTGTAATATAATACAGCACTATGTGAATTCTAGTTAGTTTAATTCAGAGGTATAGTGTGGTGAAGTTCAAAAGCAATAGAAAATAGAAGACTCTTGTGCCTTTATTACAGTTATATAACTCCAAAATACTTGAGTGTTCATCAGATACTTTCTAACCCTTTATTAATGTATATATTGTGTAAAGTTTTCTCGTCACACTGGACATGTTTTAAACATACATCAGTTGCCAAAGAACTCTTAACTTGCTGAAATATGTCCTTCATCACTCCTGTAAATGCTGAATACAGATGCTGATTACTTAACTGTATAGCTTTTTTACGTTTGTTGGTTTGTACCAGGAAAGGTTATAAAGCAATTTGAATATTTAACTTGAAATACTTTCCACATGAATTTAAAATAATATTTTGTAGAACCAGATTAAGTATCTCAGAGTTCCTCTTGTTAAGCAACTGACACTAATTTTGTAGAGACACTGGGCCTGTGGCATTTTATATTCGAGTTTTCATCAAATAAGCTCTGAGGTTTATCTTCTGGGCTTAAGGAAGAGGTGGGTAAAGAACTGCATCTGAAGCGTGATTAATTAATGCTGAACAACCAAACCCGTCCTCAACTAAAATGGATATTGACTTGTATTGAAAAGTCATACCATTTTAGTGTTTATCTTAAAATATGTTCCAACTAAATTTAAAATATTCAGTTTGTGTAGGTTTAATCTTCAAATATCTCCTGACTTTGTTTTTCAATTTGAGTAGGAACATTTGACAATTTGCAGTTTTTTGGTGACCTATTGGCAAATGATAAGTAGTGCTGTATTACACAATACTGTACTTTGTGTTATCTAAATATTAGAAGAGTTGGAGTAATAGGCATACAGTATTTTTCTACACGTGTAGATTCTCCAGGTTAACCCAACACAATTTATCAACATCATGCATTGTAGTTCATGGGAATATCAGAATGCTTGAAAAGTTGTCTCTTGGCTCCAGTATGTTTCTGGCACACATCCAAATTATGTCTGAACAAAATTTTGTTTATTCATCGTGGATTCCCATCTAACTGCTTTTGCATTGCTCCCTCCCCATCTCCCCCCTTAAGAAGGTCTCATTGTTGCTCACACTAGTAAAAGCAAGTAATGATATTGCAAAATTCTAGTTACGAGCCTTGAACCACCAGTGAATTTTCTAAAAATGATAAAGAATTGGTTTTGAAATTCTGTGTTTAAAAATGTGGCTGTTATAATTGCTTCCATATTATCTTGTGGAGACGGTCAGTGATGCAATTAATTATTAACTACACATCTGGAGCAGCTTAGTGACACTTTTTAGTACCCCCTCGTTATACATTATTTGAACAGCCTCAAATGAAAGACTTTTCTTGTCCAGTGAATCATCTTGATAGCTGTAGCACCATTTTCATTATTACACTGTTCTTACTACTAGTCATCCTAATTTAATTGTTCAAGTAATTGTGCTTTCTTAAAGGATAACAAAATCTCAAAATGCAGTACCAACCGCATGACTCACTTCTTTCAGGTGATCTTGTTCCAACATGGCAAATGCCATTGAAAATGCTATACAGAATATCTAGCATTAGTATAATTGGATCATCAGATCTCACTTAAGATGGTGGGCAAGCAGACTGCCTTCTCAATGCATTTGTGTAGTCATCTATCAGAAGCTTCCCAAGAATGACACCACCACTGCTGTGGAATCACATGACCCACATCATTCTAGGAACAATTGCTAACCAATATGTGTTCTGTACTTCATTTCAGTCATTTCACACTCAAAGGTTGTCACATTTATATACTTTTGAGAGACTTCACAGAATGAACCTTGCACTGTTGTTAATTGGCTTATTAAAAAGAGAAACCAACATTATTTTTGTTCTCCCACCAATCAGACTACTTAAGCATTTAGCATACAGCATTTTAAATAATGTGGCTAAATTCGTTCAAACATAGAAAAATTTTACTATTGAGTCTGAAATTTAGAGGTGCTTATGATGTTTTCCTTGATCTAAACATAGCCTGAATAAAGGTAGCTAGATAATTGTAAATATATTAAAACTAATAAAATTATTACAAATTATTATTTCAAAATCTAGAAATACTGCTGTACTTCCAACCATAAAGCAAAATCAAACTAATTGACTGAAGTCACCCTGCTGAACTGATCTTAGAAACCGCTTGAGGTATAATGATTAGCTTTTTAGAATTTTAAGAAACTCCTTTTGAATCGCAATCCATGGAGAATATTAAAGGTATGTATGAGCCTCTTGATACTCAATCTCAATTGTGAATGTAAAAGATGGTGTAGAAAATATTAGTTTAAAATCAGCTATTTCAGTGTGAAGATGCCTGCTGTGGGCAGTTTTCTCAATGTATTTCCTGTTGCCTCGGTAGCAGTATAGGAAAGTGAGAATAGCAGCTGAGCCAAGCATTACAATTTGTGTTGTATCCAGCGTTAGCATCTCTTGTTCTGTCTCACTAAATCAACACAAAGTGAATGAAGAAAAGAAATCAAATAACTGGAAGGAGAAATGATCTGGACACTTGCACGCATAAGACTTAGATGTTTGTTCAGAGTATTTACAAAGGTTTACAAAGGTTTAATCTTTCAAGTCTTCGCCATCAAATATGAATAAAATTAGCCAGTCTTGGTCTTTGATATCACATGAAAAAGTTATTTTAAATGCTCTCTTTCTGTTGCTCATTCTGTAAAATAATGGTTTATGAAAGGAGAAAGCTTGAGAATGCTTATCTATATTAACATTATCAAAAATATTTTAAGATGAAAGTTCAGGATGCCTTTGTGAATTGTTATGAAGAAAGATGTCATTAAAAATTGAGTTCACACTAACTGCTGTTTTGTTTTAATGCTAATTTTATTATTGCTAATTCAATTACATTAAAGTTCCACTGCATTTAAAGAGAAATGCAAAGTGAATTCCAAAATATTGAATGAATGATTAATTTTTGTGATTTTTAGTATTTATTAAGTGTTGATCTGCTGAAAGCAAATTTTAGTGATGCTTTTCATCACTTGATGTCCATTTTCAAGATCATATTATGTAGTGTGACCAATTTTAAACAGTGGGGAACTCATGAAATTTACCCAGATGCCTTGTATTGTGCCACACGTTTTAGTACAGGATGATGTTTTATTAAAAATATGCAATAGAATATAAGCAAGGTTAAAGAAAAGTTTAGGCTTCTTTGTGTCCTTCAGCGCTACTTGTTTATTTCATTTTTGAATTACCTCCTGAGCTTATTTTTTTCAATGTTACTTAATATTTAATGTACCTGGAGGTAGGGTAACATCATCTATATCACTGCTATCTTCTTTCAACAACATGCTACAAACATAAATTCTGTCTTTATGGGCAGGTAGCATGCTTGTATCATCACTTTTCATTTAATTCCTCAAGTCCGAAAGGTGCAAATTTGAACAATAGTTTAGCCATTCACTGCCAGATCTAGCTGAACCATGTAAAATACCATTGGGTTTCTGTTCCATTTGCTTGCTATTCCAGAGCATCATAGAACGCAAAGATAACCCACTCTGCCATCTTTTTTTCTGTACTACAAATCATCTCTTTAAACTCCTCACACCTGGCTCCTCAATTATTACCTGCACTAGTACAAGGAGCTCAGACAGGTTTGTCGCTAAGATTGAGACCATCAGATCAACTGCCTCTGTGACATTCCTCCTTTCCCCTTGTCCACTGACCAAAGTTCATCTAAAGTTACACCTGCCATAGTACTGAACCTGATGAGTATTCCTCCAAGGATATATGCTTGGCTCCCCACCAATTTCTCACCTGCATGTTGTTCCTTGGCAACATCACCTGGGAACTCTTACATGTATGTTGACAGCACCCAGCCCTAAATAGTCATCACTTCTCTCTTAGATTACTAGACTGCTTATCTATTATCTAGTACTGGATGTGCATAAATTTTAACAATTAAATATTGGTATATTTGAAGCCATTGTGTTTGGTCCCAACTATGAACTCCTGTGGACAACTTGGAGTCATACAGTGCAGAAAAGGCCCCTTCAGCTCATCAATTCCACACCGACAATAACTACCACTAAAGGCATGCTAATCCCAATTTCCTGCACTTGTCCCATTTCCTTAAATGCTATAATAATTCAAGTACTCATAAAAGTTTAAAAGACTTTGTAATGTTTCCAGTCCCCACTAACTTCTTAGGCAGTGCATTCCAGATTCCCACTGCCCTCTGAGTGAATTTTTTTTTTCTCTCAAATTCCCTCAATCTCCTGACCCTTACCCTAAAACTATGCCCGCTCATGCTTCCTATGCATCCTTTACATATCCCTCATAATCTTATACACCTTAATCATATCCCCCCTCAGCTTTCTCTGCTCTAAAGAAACCAATCCAAGGCTGTCTAGTTTGTCCTTATAGTTCAATTGCTCCATCCCAGGCAACATCCTGATGTACCCCCTCTTGTGCTATCACATCCTGTAGTGTGAGGTGACCAGAACTGCACACACTACTCTGCTGTGGTCTACCTACGCTCTGTAAAATTCCATCATGACCTCCTTGCTCTTGTACGCTATGCCACAACTGATGAAAGCAAGTATCCTGTATGCTTTCTTAATTATCGTATTCACGTGCTCTGCCAACTTCAGGAATCTGTGAATAATTATCCAAGATTCCTCTGAGCTACCCAGTGTCCTGTCATTCGTTAAATGCTCCATCTTGTTTCTTCTTTCAAAGTGTCTCACTGTATTTGAGGGTTAAAATACCATCTGCCGCTGCTCTGCCTATCTCCACAACCCACCTATATCTTCCTGTAACCTACAACTATCTTCACTATTAACCACTCCACCAATTTTGGTGTCGTCTGCAAACTTGCTTAACATTTCTCCCACATTTTCATCTACATAATTTTGTATATAACAAACAATAAGGGTCCCAGTACTAATTGTTGTGGTACACTGCTGGACACCAGCCTCCATTCACTAGAATAGCCTTCTACCACTACCCTTTGTGTCCTGTTACTAAGCCAGTTTCTGATCCATCTTGCCAAGTTTCCCTGAATTCCATATGCTTTAACCTTCTCTCAGTCTCTGTGTACCTTGTCAAAGGCTTTGCTAAAATCCATATAAACAACATCAACTTGCCTCATCCACACACATGATCACATTTTTGAAAAATTGTAGCAAGTTTGTTAGGTTTTAATCCCTCTGACAAAGCTATGCTGACTATCCCTAATTAACCCATGGCTTTTTCAAATGGACTATATTTCTCTCCTTCAGAATTTTCTCCAATAGTATTCCTACCGTTGACGTGAGATTCACTGGTCTGTAATTTCCTGGTTCATCTCTACCACTTTTCTTGAAAAGTGGAACCACATTAGCTATCCTTCAGTCCTGTGGTATTTCCCCCATGATGCAGAGGTGCTGATGTTGGACTGGGGTGGACAAAGTCAGAAGTCTCACAATATCAGGTTATAGCCAACAGATTTATCTGAAATCACAAGCTTTCAGAGCGTAGCCCCTTCCTCAGGTGAAGTGGGAGAGAAGCACACAAAATGTATGGGCAGAGAGATCACCAAATAAGTCTCTGCACGTGATCTGAAGTATTAGACTGTGAGTAAAGTGTAAACAGCTGAATAACAAGCGAAGGGATGACCAATAATCCAATTGAAAGAGGTAGAGAAGTAATTACAAAAGAATTAAAAACAAGGTGGTGCTGGAGACCAACCAAACAACTGGAATAACATGATAGGTATGAGTCATATGCCAAGGGTCGAACCAACATAACATAATCCAAAACTATACAAACTAGTTAGGGTAGAGAAGTCATAACAATTTATCAAGGTGACAGTGACAAAACAGGACAGTAAGGAAGATTTTACAGATATAGAAGTGTGGTCGGGGTCGTATGTAGTGCAACACGAACCCAAGATCATGGTTGAGGCCATCAGTTTCTGCTCGGCAATTCTGCATTGTGGTACATCTTAAAGGCCACCTTGGATGATGCTTACCCAAAGATCAGTAGCTGAATCTCCTCCACCACTGAACATTCCTATCCAGCAATTGTTGCAACAATCCTCCAAGGCAGCCTTTGAGATACACAACACCGAATCACAGAGCAGAAACTGATAGCTAAGTTCCATACTGATGAAGGCAGCCTCAACCATGATCATGGGTTCATGTCACACTGCATTTTTTTATTCATTAATGGGATGACGGTGTTGCTGGCTAGGCAGCATTTATTGCCAATCCCTAATTGCCCAGCGGGCAGTTCAGAGTAAACCACATTGCTGTGGGCCTGGAGTCACATGTAGGCCAGACCAGGTAACTATGGCAGTTTCCTTCCCTCATGGGCATTAGTGACCCAGATGGGTTTTTCTAACAATCGACAATGGGTTCATGGTCATCATTAGATTCTTAATTCCAGATATTTCATTGAATTCAAATGGACCCTACGACACTTCTGTATCTGTAAAATCTTCCTTGCTGTCCCATTTTGACAGCATCACTTTGATAAATTGTTATGATCTCTCTACCTTAATTACTTTGTACAGATTTGGATTACATCTTACTTTGATAAGACCCTTGGTATGCAATTCTTTACCTATCATGTTATTCCAGTCATTTGGTTCGTCTCCAGCATCACCTGATTTTTAATATTTTGTAATTATCGTTCTGCCTCAATTAATCAGATTATAGGTCATCACTTTGCTTATTATTCAGCTGTTGACACTTTACTCACCTTCTACCACTCTTGGTCACCTGCAGAGACTTATTATCTGACACTCCACTCACACTAGTTGTCTGGTGTTTTGATCTCTCAGCCCTTGATCTCTCTGCCTATAAACTCTGTGTCTGTGTGCTTTTCTTTCTTACTGCACCTGACGAAGGGGCTGCGCTCCAAAAGTTTGCGATTTCAAATAAACCTGTTGGACTATAACTGGTGTCCTGTGACTTCTGATTTCCCCCGTCAAAGAGGAATTAAAACGTAAGAGTGATTCACCATGTAAGTGGACAATAAATAATTATTTGTTTAAAGAATATTAAAGAAAGTAATATTCATGGTCTGAGTTCCATTTTTAGAAATTTTTTATTGTCACTAAAGCTGTGTGAGTATGCAGTATTTTTATATGCTCATGGGATGTAGTGTCGCACACGCAATGAGTATTTATTACCCATTCCTAAATACTCAGAGAAGGTGATGGTGAGCAATGTTCCCACTCGTACGGTCCATTTGTTACACTGTGCCATGCAGCCATTTTAAAGGGATTGCTTGTGTATGTGACCTGATAATCCCAAGTGTAGCATGTTCCCAGTTGCTTCATGGCTGCACAGCAAGGAGAGAGACATTGGTGCTGAGCTCCTTCCTGAACCACTGGTGGCCATGTAATCTAAGTACACCCCACTGGTGTCAGGTAGGATCCTCTGAGATTTCAGACCGGCAACGAAGACGAAGCATTTGTTGAAGTTCCAAATGGAGATGGTGTGTGACTTGGAATAGTTAATAATTTAGCCAGAAGAAATTTACATGTACCTTTTGGTCAGTGAAGAAGTTTACTCGAAGTACAACGATACGTGAAAATTGGCTCCCGCTGACCAGAGGGCATATCAATAAATTTGAGAGGATGAAATTTCTGATGTAAGCCATGCTACCTCCCCAGTCATAATTTGTAGTCTTATTGAAATATAGCCGGGAAATTACAGATTTTATCGACCCTGAGAGAAGTTATCAGTTTGATGAAATAAGTTATGATCAGTTTGCGAAAACATATAGACATAATATTTTCACTATATTTAGTGCAACACTGAAAGTGTATTTAGCTTCATAATTAATTTAGAATTTAAGCAAAACT